CCTCGCGAGGGCGTCCTCGTGGCAGCGGCCGCGGCGCGAATGTCCCCTTGTTGCTACGAAACGCGCCGCTTGTTAAAAGTCGCGAGTGGCTTTTTGCGGAGCGGGAGGTGCCGCGCGAGGGCGAGGGGGGGAGGGCGAGCGGCGGCTTCTCGTGTCTTAAATACTAAGCGCCGCTCGGGGCTGCGAGGCTTTGTTGCGCGTGACGTCATCTCTGGCGCTGACGTCATCACTAGCAACAGCTGGGTGATGACGTCACGGAGCGGCCAGACTCGGCCGCGACTCGAGCGACAGAGAAGGTGAAGCAGGGGCGGCCGAGACCCCCTCGCCCCCCCCCCCCCCTCGCGTACCCCGCCCCCTCTTCGCCCCTCGTGTCTTCTTCAACGCCCACCGCGAGCATTTAACCTCCCTCCCCCCCCCCGCCCCTCCTCCCGTGCGCTTCCTGTTGCTTCGGTTCGAGTTGAAATCCCTGAATGGAGGAGGAAGTGGGCGCGGGCCGGCGCTGCCCCGGCGAGGCCCCAGGCCGGCCAGGGCGAGCGACCCCGGCCCGGGGGGAGGGGGGGGGTAGCATGTGGCCCAGGTATGGCACCGTCTATGGCAAATTGGGAATGGCGTTGCGGCTGAGAAAGGTGCCAGTGCCAGGACGGGCAGGTAGAGAGGCACGGGGAAGGTGGTGCCAAACACCTGCCCGGCCGCCCTGCGTCGCCGTCGCCGTCGCCGTCGCCGCCTCGCCGACGCCGATTTCCCCGGGGAGGGAATGAGGCCGATGGCTTGGTCGCGATGTCGGGTCGTTCGCGGGACGTGGAGCACCTGCTAGGAATGCGCGGTAATTACGCCGTATTTGAGATCGCTCCTGGGCTTACGGTCCTTACGTGATGCCGTTTGGGGGGGAGGGGGGAATACCGGGTATTGGCGACTCCCCTCCCCCCTCCCTCCCTTACCTCCAACCTAACAACCCCGGGGTACGAGACGGGTGGGAGAGTGCGGCGTGGCAGAGGTACCTCCGGGGCCGGGAACCGTTGCTGCACGTCGCCGCCGCCGCATGAAAGTAAACCCCCGGCCCCCTCTCCCCTCTCCCCTCCCCCCTCTCCCCCTCCCCTCCCCTCCCTTCCCCTCCCCTCCCCTCCCCTCCCCTCCCCTCCCCTCCCCTCCCCTCCCCTCCCCTCCCCTCCGCTCCCGCCTGTCACGTTCGGGAGCGCGGCCGGGCGGGCGTTGGCGACCTGTGGCTTCGGCAGGCGGGCGGGCGTAAGCCCCGGGTGCTGCTGCCCCCCGTCGGCGACCCGGGGGCCAGTTGCGTGCCGAAAGATGCCGTAAACTGAAGCGCGGGGGGGGGGGGAGTGGTGAAGCACCCGCTCTCGCACGTAAGCGGTTTCACTGCCTTCGCTCGTGCCGGGGAGTTGGAAGCGCTGGATTGGAAAGACGGGGAGGGGGAGGGGGAGGGGAAGGGAAGGGGGAGGGAAGGCGAAAGGGAAGGGAAGGGGGAGGGAAGGGGAAAGGGGGGTGAGTGGGTGGAAGGGCGTCGGCCAGGGGCTTTTCTCTCGCCTCCTGGGGTTTGAGTGTCAGGTTCGCGTGGAGAAGGGGGGTGGGGTTCGAGGATGTTTGGGGTGGGAGGGCGAGGGAAGGGAAGGGGGAAGATTTTGGGGGGCGGGCGGGGGAGGGGAGGATGTGTAGACCGCTGCTTGAGCGCGCTTGGAATGTAACAGTGACGGCGCGGGAAGTGAATGCTCTGGGATTTCTCGCCGTCGCTCGCACACCTGGCGGAGTCGCGCCCGGCTCGCCCCTCGCGGTTCGCAGTCTGCAGGCCTATCGCTGTCAGCCGGACGCCGCTCGTGTGCGCGACGCTGGGCAGCAGAACAAAGGCGGCGGAGGGCGCGGAGGGCTCGACCCTTGCCCGGCCTGGTGCTCCCGAGCTGCCCTCCTCCAGTCGGAGCGTTTGCAGTCCACTGCTGCGTCGCCCTCAGCGCCCTTCTGCTGCCTCTCCGCTGGTCAGGCTAACTGTTGGTTGGTCGCGTTGGGCTGCGGGCGAGAGCGAGCGGGACGGGGATGGAATGGGATTGCGCAAAGCTGGAGGAAAGTCCTGTTGTGCAGAGCATTTTCGTGGCGCGGAGGGGGCCGTGGGGAGTGACACGGAGCCTTTCCACATGAGCAGGTAGAGAGAAGGCGCCGTGTGCAGGACGGCGGGCGGGCGAGATCGTGCGTATGTCCAGTGGTGTGGGCGTGGCGGGCGGGGCGAGCGGAGAGGCTGAGGGGGACTCGTGGGAAGACGCCGGGCCGCAGCCACTGACACCGCCACACCTCCACAACTTTCTCCTCACGCGCACACCCGATGCCCGCCTCTCCCCGGCCTCACCACACCCACCCACCCTCCCGCCCGCCCACCCGCCCACCCGACCAACCGCTCGCCCGAAAGACGTTTTATCACGCCCAAGACGTCTTCCGCGAAACCGAACCACACCCACCGCGCCGCCGCCTCCGATCCGCCGAAGTTCGCTTCTCGAGCCTGGCGCACCGATCACGTGACCATTCCGCTCCCTTAGGCAGAGATTTTATCGCGCAGGTACTCGAGATCACGCGCCCGTTCGCTGGCACTTATCGCACTGGCCTTATCCCGTGGCCCAAGCTGTGCCAGTGCCTTTTCGGCCCCGCCCTCCCTCCGCCCTGACACCTTTCCTCATGCCACCTTTCCCTCTCTCCTTCTGTTGTTTCCCTCCCACCCTGCTTCCCCATCTGCTCGGCCCACACTCCTCTGCCCCCTCCCCCCCCATTTTTTCTTCTCCCTCCCTTTCAGCTCTTCCTTGCCTCCTCTTCCGAGAACCTTCATGACTGAGCCCCGACGCCGGACGCCCCTACGCATGCCGTGGGTCTCCCTCGCTGGCGAATCACCGTGTTTTGTCTCGGTGGGTGGGTGGGGAGGGAGGGAGGGGTGGGGGGGTCAGTGACCGCGTTTCTTTAGTGTCTTTCCCCTTCTATTCTCTCTCCTTGTGTCTTAATCCTTCCTGTTCTCATTTTATAGTTTTTGGATATCCGACGATTTTTTTTTCTAACGTTCTGGCATTGAGTATATACGCTTTTTTTTTTGTCTCTAAATCCGGATTCGCGAACCGCGGCCCAAGCAAGTTCCGCCGAACTACGAAATTGGCCGGAGTATACGACGCAACTCTGCGCCCTTCTCTTAAGGCCGTGTTTCTTTGTTGCGGGAGAGTAGGTTCGTCCCCCTCAGCTCCCCTCCCCTTCCTCTCTCCCCTCCCTCCTCTCCCCTCTCCCCTCTCCCTTCTCCCCTCTCCCTTTTCCCCTCTCTCCTCTCCTCTCTCTACTCTCCCCTCTCCCTTTTTCTCCCCTCTCCCTTTTCCCCTCTCTTCTCTCCTCTCTCTACTCTCCCCTCTCCCTTCTTCTCCCCTCTCCCCACGCCCCTCTTCCCTCTCTTTGCCAGCCAACACGTGGGTGACGACAACAGAAGGGGCGTCATGTGGAGCCTTGAGGTAGCTGCGTCTTCGCGAGGGAGAAGACACGTGACACATTTGTTTTTTTTGCTGTGGGGATACGTGGGGGATGCAGCTAGGGGATATTGTGGGGCTAGTGGGAGAGGCAACTAGGGGGTATTGTGGGGCTAGTGGGAGAGGGGCCTTGGGGATATTGTGGGGCTAGTAGGAGAGGCAACTAAGCGAATACGGGGCTAGTGGAGGAGGTAACTCGGGGAGAATGCGTAGGGAAGGCAGATTAAGAGGCTGTTCGGGGTTAGAAAAGGGAGGTAACTGTGGCGGATTGTGGGACTCGTAAGGGAATTTACTTAAGGGCTATTTTAGGGCTGTTAGGGGACGCAACCGGGAGCTGAGGAGTGGGGCTAGCAAGGGACTTCCCGAAGACCATCGATCCAACCTGAAGAGGCCTCCTCTGGGCCGTGAGCGACAGCGTGAAAAATCACAAGCGACACAAAGTGCGGGTTTTCGTCAGGCGTTGCGTCGGCTGCGGTTGGTCGGTCGGTCGGTCGGCGCTCAGTCGGTCGGTCGGATGTTGGCATGCGGCCCCGAGTGGACGAGTTGGCTTGCATCAGTACACGCGGGAGGGAAGGGCGGCGGCGGGACCTGTCTGTCTCTACGGCGGCACCGCGCTTGGCTCTCACGGGAGATGCGGGAGAGGGAGAAGGGGGGGGGGAAGGGGGGAAGGAGGGGGGATGTGACGCCAGCAGAGGGGCCACTGGTAGGCAAGCAGGCCAAGCAGGCAGGCAGACAGGCAGGCGGGTAGGCAGGCCGGCCAGCCAAACAGGGCATGCAAAATTGTATGCTCGAATGCACACACTCTTCGAAACCAATTCACCGAAAACTGCATTTGTATTGCAATACTGGAGTCGGAGTTCAAAAATGACACGGTAGATACATGCGTGACTGATGCAAGTATCTCAACACAAAATACCATGACTATGACAATTATAGAAAATGGAATCTGTCACAGTAAAGCATAAATCTGGATCATATTGTTTTGTTTTTTTTATACATATATATATACGGTTTTCGATCTGTAGACGGCACCACTTGTTGCTTTGTATCGCAGGATGGTCGTTATTGCGTCGTGAATGGTAGTCTGGTGCCCGACCATCAATAAATCTGCCTGGCTATGATAAATGGTGCTTGGTTGATCTAACTGTTGTTATGTGTGCTGTGGTTGTTTTGGATTAGTCTTTACATTTTTTTTTTTGGGGGGGGGGGGGGAGAGGGGAACGTTCATTTAGTGTAATTCGTGACGCGATTCGTTTCCCGTGTTTGTGTTTGTGTTCAGCTCGGCATGATGTTGGATGATAATGCCCCGGGGGATTTCCGTTCCTCATCTCTTGTTTGTTAATAATGCAAGAAAGTTGCTATTCTCTTGCTTAATACCATTTAAACATTGTGGATGCGACAGTTATATTTATTTATATTATAGTTATGATATATTTGCTATTATATTTAACTTGAACGTTGAAAGGAGAATTATCATTACTAACGTATTTTTATTTTGCTTTATTCCAGGATGTAACGATGGCATGAGAACTGCCAGGGTAACCCCCGCCACGACATAAGGTGAGTTATCCCCGCTTTCTTGCGTCATGTCACTCATTTCATTCATTACGTCATTATGAATGCGGTTGTCTTGTACACCCATCACGGTCCCTCACCTCGAACTGTTACTACTCGTCTACAAAACGTCTACCACACGTCTACCACACGTCTACCATTCTGTCTACCATTCTGTCTACCACACGTCTACCACTCTGTCTGCCATTCTGTCTGCCATTCTGTCTACCACTCTGTCAACCATTTTGTTTATCACTCTACCATCATTACCATGGCCCAGCGCTAATTGTTCATGGTTCCGTTCCTACCACTCTTCATGGGAGAAAACCTGAAGCGCGGCCGTTCGAGGGATAAAAGTTCAACGTGTCACTTCTTGCCGACTTCGATTCCGGGAAATTTCGAAAGGTCGGCGAGATGCGGGAGGGAAGGAGGGAGGGAGGGGAGGGAGGGGGAGAAGGAGGGAGGGAGGGGAGGGAGGGGGAGAAGGAGGGAGGGAGGGGAGGGAGGGGGAGAAGGAGGGAGGGAGGGGAGGGAGGGGGAGAAGGAGGGAGGGAGGGGAGGGAGGGGAGGGAGGGGGAGAAGGAGGGAGGGAGGGGAGGGGGAGAAGGAGGGAGGGAGGGGAGGGGGAGAAGGAGGGAGGGAGAGAAGGAGGGAGGGTGGGAGTGAGTGAGTTGGGTGAAGGAGTGAGGGAGTGAGTGAGGATGGGTTGAGGGAAGAGGGAAGAGGAAGATGGAAGAGGGAAGAGGGAAGAGGGAAGAGGTGGGGAGTAAGGAAGGTGGAGGATGGAGGGGGGGGGGTCCCGGAGGCTCACACAGCGCAGAGACAAAAGGAAGTCAGGTTCTCATACAGGTGATTTTTTTAAAGATTTTTTTTTTTATGGGTTAATGGAATGTTGAGAGCTTCTTGGGAGATTCCCTTTCCCTTTCTCTCGTCTCCTTCTCTCATTCTCCTTGTCCATCATCCTTCTGTCCACTATTGTGCCTTCTCTTCTCTTCCTTGTCCCTCTCCCTTTCCTTCTCTCTCCTCCCTTTCCTTGCCCCTCCTCCCTTTCCTTGCCTCTCCTCCAGTTCCTTCTCCCTCCTCTCTTTCCTCCTCCCTCCTCCCTCTTCCCTCTCCCTCTCCCTCTCCCTCCTCCTCTCCCTCCTCCCTCTCCCTCTCCCTCTCCTTCCTCCCTCTCCCTCCTCCCTCTCCCTCCTCCCTCTCCCTCCTCCTCTCCCTCTCCTTCCTCCCTCTCCCTCCTCCCTCTCCCTCTCCCCCTCCCTCTCCCTCTCCCTCTCCCTCTCCCTCTCCCTCTCCCTCTCCCTCTCCCTCTCCCTCCTCCCTTTGATACCGGTTGGAAAGTGAGTGTGTTACCTTGCTCGTCCGCGTGCGCGACCTTGTGCGGGCTGCGTGGACGAGGGCGCAGGAGAACAAAGAGGGAGCTCGGGCGCCCGGGCCGAGGGAGAGAGTGCGCCCTGTTCCCACGGGATGCGGCGCTCACCCTGGAGTCCGAATGGGGTTGGGGGGAGAGATAAGGATTGGGGGGGGGGGTTCGTTTTTGTTTAGATGTTTAGTTATTTATTATTATTATTGTTATTATTTTTGTTGATAATGTTATGATTATTATTGTTATTATGTATTTATTTATTATTATTATTATTATTTTTTTTTTTTGGGGGGGGGTATTGTTTTTATCTTTCTCTGTTCTATTTTCTATTCCTTCCTTCGCTTTTTTCATAACTATGTCCTTCACCTCCTTCTCTCTACATTTTTTTCCACCTGTATTCTTACTCGCCTTGCCCCTTCCATCTTCCCTCTTCTCCTTTCTCTCTCTCCCTTGTCACTCTCCCTTCTCCCGTTCTCTCTTCTCTCGTGCCATCTCCCTCTCGTACCTGCGTGCACTCATGCCCTCGTATGCCCACCCCCGCTCGCCTCCTATGCCCAATTCCCTCCCCTCCCCTCCAGTGCCCTCCCCTCACCCCCAATTTCCTCCTCTCCCATCCAGTGCCCTCCCCTCACCCCCAATTCCCTCCTCCCCCCTCCAGTGCCCTCCCCTCACCCCCAATTCCCTCCTCCCCCTCCAGTGCCCTCCCCTCACCCTCAATTCCCTCCTCTCCCCTCCAATGCCCTCCCCTAACCCCTAATTCTCTCCTCTCCCCTCCATTGCCCTCCTCTCTCCCCACCAGTGCCCCCCTCTCTCCCCACCAGTGCCCCCCTCTCTCCCCACCAGTGCCCCCCCCCCCACCCCCGTGCACTCTCTAGGCCGTGCCGGTGTCGAGTGTCAGCGTCGCGAGGAAGACGGAGGGCGAGGGCGCGTTCCTTTAAATGCTCATTTGCATCCAGCTGACGGGGTTGGCCTTGCCATTTTTTCCACGCTTTTCAGTCTGTTTCCTACTCTTTTTTTTCCCTTTCTCTTTCTTTCTCTCTCTCTCTCTCTCTCTCTCTTCCTTTCTCTTTCTTTCTCTCTCTTTTTTTCCTTTATCTTTCTCTCTTTTCATTTCTCTTTCTCTTCCCTTTCTCTTTTTTTTCTCTTTCTCTTGTCTCTTTCTCTTCCTCGTCCTCCCGAGCGAGAAAAACGCGGATGTGTTATCCAACGGCGGCCCTTTCGCACGGGTCTCGGCTTCTGTGCAAAGTCTTTCCTTCCGCCGCGCCCGACGTCCCCTCCCCCCACCTCCATCTTCCTTCCCCTATCTCTCTCCTCTCCTTCCTCCTCCCTTGTCCATTCTCTCTCTTTTCTCCTCATCCCTACCTCCTTCCACCCTACTGTATCCACTTCCCTTCTTCCTTTTCTCTCCTCTCCTCTCTCCTTCTCCTTCTCCTCCTTCTCCTCCTCCCCATACTTCCTCCTTCCCCATCCTTCCTCCTTCCTCTCCTTCCCCATCTTTCCTCCTTTCCCTCCCCCCCCCATCTATCCTCCTCCCACCCACGTACCAAGCCGAGCGCCCGCCCGCCCACCCGCCCGCGACCCCTGCAATACCCCCCCCCCCCCCCCCCCCGCACGTGCCAGCGCCGGGGCCGTGAGAAAACGTGCGTCGGGGTTCCAGGGCCGCCTCTGGTCCCGCGTTTCCGTGCGGGGCGGATGTGCGGCTTATCGGCGGCGGCCGCTCCTTCCGCGTGCGGCTCGGGGCGGCGCCGGGCACCGCTGCGTCGCACCTCGCGGCTCGCTTCTGGCTCTTCTTGTCCCTCTTATGTTTTGTCTGTTCCTTGGATTCCAGCGTTTTCTTCTTCTTTTTCTTCTTCCTTCTTCTTCATCGCTTTCTTCATCTTGACTTCTCGTCTTCTATCGTTTCCGTCCTCTTCCCATCTTTCTCCTTTTCTTCTTCTTCTTTACTTTCGTCCCCGTTGCTGTCCTCTGGTTCTGCGTTCGTCATTGCCCCCTTTTCTCGTCTCTCCTTCCGTGGTTCTTCCCTCCGCTCGATGGCGACCTCCTCCGAAAGGCACTTGTTTCTGGGGGCATGGCGTCGAGGGGGGGAGGGGGGGAAGGGTATGATTGGGAGGGAGGGAGGGAGGGAGGAGGGAGGGAGGGAGGGAGGGAGGGAGGGAGGGAGGGGAGGGAGGGAGGGAGGGAGGGGGTATTTGAGAACAGGTGTTTTCCCCCTCGTGAGTTGGGGAGGGGAGGGGGGGTTGGGTATAAGGGGTGTAGGGGGAGAGGAGGGGGTGTTGGGTATGAAGGGTGTTGGGGGGGGGGAGGAGGAGGAGGGGGTTGGGTGCGTCCTTCCTTTGGTCACGACGCTCATTGAAGAGATATTGACCGTTAAGTGGCTAGATCTCGAGAGAATATATTATGTTTTTCATGTCGTCCTGTTCATTTCCTCTTCCTCTCTCTCTCTCTCTCTGTCCCTCCTTCCTCTCCCTGCCCCATCGTTTCCCCGTCTTCCTCCTCCTCCATCCCTGCCTTTCTCTTCCTCTTCCTCCTCCTCCTCCTCCTCCTCCTCCTCCTCCTCCTCCTCCTCCTCCTCCTCCTCCTCCTTCGTCCCCTCCCCCCCTCCCTCCCCCATGGGTAGCTGGCACATAGGGAGGGCGTCAACCGCGACTGCCAATTCGCCGCTCCGACGCGCTTTATCGAGCTCCCCCTCTCTCCCCTCTTCCCTCTCCCCTCTACCCCCTCCTCTTCCCTTCTCCCCTCCCCTGCCGCCCAACTCCTCCTCCTCTTCCCCCTCTCCCCTCTCCCCTCCCCTCCCCTCCCCCTCCCCCTCCCCTTTCCCCTCCCTTTTCCCCTTCCCCTCCACTCCCCTCTCCTCTCCCCTTCTCCTTCCCTTCCCCCTTTCTCCCTCCGAGCCCTGTCGGAGGAAGTGCGAGGGCGTGGAGGGCCGCCGGCGCCCCCGCGTCCGCCCCCCCCGGCTCCCCGAAAGCGTGGACGAGAGCGATAAGTGAAGCGAGCGCGGGCAGCCATGGCGGTACCGTACTCTGCCTCTCACCTCCCTGCCCTCGCCTGGCACCTCCCGCGGAGCTCAATGTGACGAGCGCTGCCACCTCCTCCTCCTCCTCCTCCTCCTCCTCCTCCTCTACCTCCTCCTCCGCCCGGCCTCCCCTCCCCTACCTCCCTTCCTCTCTCTCTCGCCCTCCCCTTCCCTCGCTCCTGCCTCCTTCCTCTCTCTCTCTCTCTCCTCTCACTCGTCCTCTCTCTCTCGTGCCTGTTTCCTCTTATTCGCTCTTCTCTCCTTCCTCTTCTCTCTCCTCTTTTCATCCTCCATACTCCCTCCTTCTTCCTTCCTCTCACTCCTCCCTCTCGCTCTCATAAGCCAACTCGCTTTCCCGTCTTGCTCTCACTCCTCTTCTTCCCCCCCCCCCTACTCTACCCTTCCCCTGTTCTTTCTTCCTCCTTCTTCCTTCTCCCTGTCGCTTCCTCATCCTCTCTTCCTCCCCTGCATGCTCCTGCGTCCTTCCTCATCCTCCCTCGTACTTCTTTTCCCCTCCCCCCCCCTCTATTCCTCCCCAGCTCTTATTCCATCCCCATTCCCTCCCCTTCATTCTCCCCCGCCCCCCCTACACTCCCTTCCTCCTTCCCTCCTTCACCTCCCCCCCTC